ACGGGAGCTGCGCGGTTTGGACAGACCTGAGGTTACGGCTGTGTTTGGAGTTGCAATCAGCCTGAAGATGTGGGGTGAGGTATGGGGGTGCGCTCAGGGTCGCAGCATGGGGCTTGAGGGGTCATGGCAGGATTCGGGGGGGGTCAAGGCTCAAGCGTTTGGTTTTGGGCTTGTGAATGGGCTTGAGGCTGGAGCTCAGGGATTTGGTGCCCGGCTTGGGATGTCTTTGGGATCAGGGCTCATTCGCGTCTTCAGTGTTTTTCTCCTTTGCTTTTGGGCCATGATCTCTGGGTCCTTTGCTAGGAAGTAGCTTCTCCCTGTCCTGTGTCACGGCCCAGGTGCTGGCCGCGAAACTCGCTTTCCCATCTTCAGTGTTTTTCTCCTTTGCTTTTGGGCCATGATCTCTGGGTCCTTTGCTAGGAAGTAGCTTCTCCCTGTCCTGTGTCACGGCCCAGGTGCTGGCCGCGAAACTCGCTTTCTTAAACATTAGTTGCTCAGCAGCTCTTCTGGCAGGAGAAGACCAGGCTTAGCAGGGTCCTCTAAGGCACGTTCATTTGTAGAGCTTAAAACAGGAAAAAAAGACTGCCTAGTCTCAGACCAGAAATGATAAGATATCTGCTTATGAAGCCTAGTGGCTAAAGTGATTAAAAACATCTGCCAGAAGCTATAGGTACTTTATTAAATATTAAGCCTAAGATGCTTCGGTGGTTTATATTCACACCATCTAAACAACTGTCCGAACAGCATTCGGTCTTGCAGCCTGAGTCAGGATTTATGGGAAAGAGTTGGACCCAAGGTCCCAGTTGGTTACAAATTCTTCTTGATTTTTATAGTGTAGCATGTCCCCACGGTGTGCTCTCCAAATGCAAGATCTCATTACAAAGAGTGCAATTCCACAGTAGTCCACTTAGTCGCAGCATCTTTGGAGAGAGATGTGGGAATACGGACAAAATAAGTTCACGGGTGTCTCGTGCGTACCTGGGGCAGGTAGACACAGATCCCTGAGGCATCAGGCGCGCTCTCTGATCCGCTCAGGTTTTTTCCAGGTTACATCCCGTTTTCTAAAGTGAAATTTTCCTCACAGCGAAGCAGATATCCCCATCGATGTCGAAACAGTGACGCCCACGCCTGTGCCGCTCTACGACAACCAGAAAGCCCGCAGTGTGATGAACGAGTGTGAGCGCCATGTGATGTTTGCGCGCACGGATGCTGATGCTCCTCCTCCGCCAGATGACTGGGAGGAACACGTGAACAGGTAACGCGGGGCGCCAGGGTTGCAGAGGAAAGAAATTGTGATCCTAAGTAACTATCCATGCAGTAGCTGTAGCAGTTGTGCTTCGGGGACTCATCTTGCTGGTTACATTGCAGCACGTATTAGTATATAAAGCCGCAGCCAGCCAGAGGATGGTGTAGTGCCAGATGCTGTGTGAAATGCAGTTGGGGCCATAAATATTTTAGAAAAAAAGCAGAAATGGAGAGGAAAATCGTGGTACGGAGCAGTGAGGTGACTCTTCTGTGTCTGCAGCCGGTGAATGAGGGCTAGGGAGGACAAGTCGGCGTGCTGAATCCGGTCCAATGCAGCGCGTGCTTGACTACGCTCGCTTTGCGTTCTCTGTGTTCACTGAAGTCTTTAAGAAAGCTGGAGAGACCAAAGCGGGTCACTTTATTGCCTCAATTGCCTTTATGAACTTGTGTTAGCCCTCTGAAAGGAACAGTGCAGTAACTGCAGGATGGAGCCTTTTCAACCTACATTTCGACACCTTTTATTTACTACGTATAACCCAAATCCTCGGCTTCTACCACGTTTTCTTTTATCTTGTGTTTTTTAGTACTTCCCTAAGTGTGACTTAATATACAGTGACATTCCTGAACCAAATAATGTTCAAAGAAAATGAAATCTTCTGTCCAAATTCCTCAGCTGCCTGCTTTGAAACCTGTCAAATTTAAAGGCAGAGGCTGATGTCCAGCTGGTGAACCTCTCTCGCACGCTTGATGTGATGCTGTTGCTTCTGTTCGCAGAGGTGCTTGGGACAGTGGCTTTTTAGATTACATGTAGGTGCCCGATTCCAAAGCATCTTCCAAAAGCAGAAAATTTAAGATGGGGATATGCATAGAGTCCAGGCTTTCAAGAATTGTCACTGGATGGTGTAGTCAGTCTAATTGGTGGTCTTGGCATTAGGTAGAATGGGTTTTTTTGAACAGTTCCTTTGAGAAATGCGGAGATAACCTATGCTAAAAGAAGCGATTATTTTTGTCGTATTTGTTGCTTCTCTTGTTACTCTTGTCTGTCTGATGCTTTGACGTTCAGCAGTAGTGACGTTTAAAAACAAATGTTTTTTATGGACGTAAAAATGTGTTTTAAGACACATTAGTAGTGAAACTTTGTCCATAACCATAAATCAGTTCTTGTGACTCTAATTGTAGCTGATTCCCAACTGTGCCTGCTGGCAGGTGTTGCTGACAGCCTTGGAGATGGGCAGTAGTTTCAAGGACTGTGATTTCTGGATGTCTGTGTAGCAGGGCTCTCAACTACCTCTTGGGTTTTTCTTTACAGGACAGGTTGGACAATGGCCCAGAACAAGCTCTTTAATAAGATTCACAAAGCACTGCAGTCTGACAGGCTGGCTCGGCTGGCCAACGAAGGGGTAAGGTCTTTTATTCCCTATTTCTCTTTCATCTTTTGGCAGAGTCATTGCCTGTGTGTTTGTATTCAGTCCTTCCTAGCAAAGATGCACTGAGTCAAGATGAACGTCTTGGCCTTTGGGTTTTGTAGTCTTAAAGAAGCAGGCAGCTCTGGATTTGTTTGAACCGTGGTTTTGTCTTCACTGAGCGGATGCTGATTCTTACTTGCTGCCAGAGGATTGTGGGCAGTCCAAGCTGATACTCGCCTGTGGTTTGGGATGCATGAAGCACCTTTGCTTTTTCCCATAACTTTTTTCTTTTTCATTTCTCATTTTTAGGCTTGCAATGAGCCAGTCCTCAGGAGGATAGCAGTGGACAAATGTGCTCGGAGGGTCCGTCAAGCTCTGGCCAGTGTGAACTGGGACACCAAACTGATCCAGTGGCTTCACACAACGTTAGTGGAGACCCTCAGTTTGCCAGTGTTGGCTGCTTACTTGGATGCTCTGCAAACGCTTAAAGGAAAGGTGATAAAAGCAGTGAAAGAGACCTTGCTATCTCTTATGATGTTCTTCCTTTATAAAGCACATTAAAGGAAGCTTTATCTATCTTTATCCTTTTTGGTTGGAGGAGCAAGGGAAAATTCTCCTCGGTGCTCTCCTTGCCTTTTCTGAGTGGGAGTCGTTTTCCAGGGCACTAACTTGTATTAGCTAGAGGAAGAGGAAACGGAGTGCTTTGACTCTTTGTGGTGGTGCTTCTGACTTGCTGTGGTACTTGGAGCTTGCCTGTTAAATTGTCTGTGTCTTGTCTCCCCATCGAGAAGAGTGGGAAAGAGGAGCGATGGCTCCATGAGCTAGCCCAGGAACTGGGAGGTTGGACTTCATATCCTGTACTGCTGCAGATCCCCTCTATAAATTCCACTGCTCTGAGTTCCTTGATGTGTAAAAATATAAACTTTGTGGCTCTCTGCCCTTCAAGTAGCTTGTTGAGATTTGTGTTGAGTAACAGCCTGTGCTCAGGTAGAGTAAGGTCTGGTGTACTCCCTGTGATGCTGCTCGGGATTTTCCACAAAACAGTGAGCACTGGCTTGATGACTTCCACCCTTTGCTGACAAGGCAGTAATTGTGTTTCCCAGACTGCAAAATTGATGCTTAAAAGCCTGTAGAAAAGGCTACTTGCATTTTCTCAGCCCTCGCTGGCCTTTGGTTTCAGATCCCCACCCTGATTGACAGGATGCTGCTTTCGTCTACCACGAAGACAGGGGCAGCGGGTGCTGAGGCTCTGTCTCTGCTACTGAAGAGACCTTGGGACCCAGCAGTGGGTGTCTTGTCCCATAATAAACCAGTGAGTATATCTAGGGGCTTGCAGGGAGTGAGAAGCTGGGCTTGCTGCCTAATGTGCTCAGATCTGCTTTATTCTTCCCATCCTTTTGCTGGCCACCTCCTTCCATCCCTTGCTTTGTGAGTTGCTTTGGACTTGCTCCCTTTAGGAAGCCACTCTGCCTCTTCCTGTTCGTATCCACCTTTGTCTTACATCACTGCAAGAGATAACTCATGTAATAGTTGAGAGTTGCCTGCTCATTGAGGGCAATACCTTCTCCTGGGATACGTTTTCCTCCCTATTGTGTTGTGAGGTAGCTTCTGCTAGGAAAACTTGCTCATTTAATGAGCTATGCAAGAGCCCTACCACTTCATCTGCTGTGCAGAGCAGATGGGGCTTTGGGTTTAGAAGTAACCATTTTAACTCATCTGTGAATTATCAGGGGTTGCGCTGGGGCCATCACCAGCTAACCCTTATTTCTTAGACCCACTGGGAGGATGTTGTGGCCAGTGTGGACTTCCTAACAAGCAACAGCTTGCATAGTGTGAATGTCCTCTTGCGTGAGGCTTTGCATAAGTTGCATTGGATGAACTGCTCTGTGTGAGTGAGGGTCCTGGGCTAGAGCAGTGGGAGGAGAGGACTGATGTGGGTGGAGCTCCCTGGAAAAGCAGCTGTGTCTTTTTCTCAGAAAAGCTATCGCAACAGAGGGGTCTCGGGCAGGGAAGTTGCCTTCTCTTATGCATCCTCTGTTGAATTTTGTAGAGCAAATTGCCTGGTTCTCCCCTCATCCTGATTGCTTCCTCCGGACCCTCCAACTCTATGTTCCCCACTTCTCGACGGCACCGGTTCTGGCAGTCACAGCTTTCCTGCTTAGGAAAGGTTTGTATTACTGGTTTTGAAAGGAGGGAAGTTCAAGCTAGCAGCTCTTCAGAAGCAAGCTGTGGCAGGCTGCAGCTGCTGAGCTTGCTTTTATGTTTTTTCAGCGTGCCAAAACACTTGCTTCTGCTGGTAGCAGAGGCTGGCATCTACCACCTGCACTGTTTAGTATTTGAAGCATTTTATTCTGCACAGCAGGTGGAAGTTGCCTGAATCCAATGCATTTGGGATTGTGGCAGAAGACCTGCCATGCAGAGTCAAGAGTCTGCAGCATTTTAGATTGTGTTGTTGTTATTATTAAGGATCCATGAGTTTTGCAGTAGAAAGGAGCTGGAGAAGAGAAGCTATACAGCATTAGGTTACCTTCATCTTTTGCCTGGGTACAGGGCTGTTCACAGCCCTCTTAATGTGTTAGATGTACTGGGTGTATAGGAGCAAGGTGAGGAGCAGAGGCGGTGTCTGGGGGGGATGCTCTGCCTCCTCTCTGTTTTTTGTAGCTTGATATGAATCTCGGGAGAGAGAGAGAGAGGATTGAAGTTCATACGCAAAGTGGGTTCTAGCCATGCAAACTGTTGTCAGTACCTCTTGTCTCCGGTAATGCCTTTGTTATTTATCCATCTTCCATTTCAAATGATAGGTGATTCCCGGCTGAACAACGGCAGCGGTGTGGGAGTGTTGCAGTGTCTTGAACACATGATCGGGGCAGTGAGAGGCAAAGTGGCGGAGGTGAGAGCAATGAACGTATCGGTGAGCCTGTGCTGCTCCCTTCAAACTATTCACCTTCCTTGTACATGCTCGGCTACCCAAGAGCATCATCCTGTTGCCTGTCCCTCTTCTTCCATCTACACCCTTTTTCTCCCGTAGATTCACAACCACTTCTCGCACAAGCCGATCATCCTGATCGGGTGGAACACAGGTGCCTTGGTGGCCTGTCATGTAAGTACCTGCTTGCTTTGCATCCTCTCAGAGGCCGCTTGCCAGCTTCAGTTAGTCCTCAGACCGACCAGTTCCACGCTGCCTGCCCTGTGTTGGGTGGCACAAAGGAGACCTCACTGAGCGAATGTTTTGTTCAGCATCCTAAATAGCAGTGCATCCGAAGGAGGAGGAAGTCTCTTGACCTCCTCTCTCCCATACACCCATTTATAACTAGAGACTGTCTTCAGGATAGGCCTGACTCAACTGCTTGCATTTAACTGAAGCCAGCAGAGTTATATGTGCATTACTTATTACATTTAAGCCCTGAGGGATCCTTCTCTTCCATTTTCTCTTTCTGAGGCCTGGCTTTGAAACAGACATCGTTTCTGGTCATGGGGGCATAAGGAATTCGAGTTCTTCTGTGTTCTTTTTCTCCCCTTTTAATCAACAAAGCAAGGTCTAAATACGGAAGATATTTTTGTGCCCTGGTGGCAGCCCAGCAAAGGAGCCTTTGTAGTATCCATACGGCTGCTAGGGCTTCAACTGTTGCTTGTCTGTGCAGGTTTCAGTGATGGAGTACGTCACTGCAGTCGTGTGCCTTGGATTCCCTCTTCTAACCGTGGATGGACCCAGAGGGGTAAGGAGTGAAGGGAAAGGGAGGCCATTTAAGAAACTATTTATTATTTAATTTTTAACCTCCCTAGACTGTTTCATAGAATCTGGCCTGGAAACCCAGTGATAGTGGAAGACTTTTGAGGAATGCCCGTGTGTCTTGAAATAAGTTTTGTTTGTTTGTTTTTTGTTTGGAGCAGGATGGGGGTGTGCCCAGCAGGCTGGCCCTAGGGGATGTTTCTGAGTTTGCCTAGAGAAACTGCCTGGGCTGTTGTATCCGTAATAGGATTCCTCATGTGATAGCAGGAATGAGAAGTCCTACGTTTACTTATCCCTGCTATGACATGTTTTTGCAGCTCCATCCTGGGGTCTTGTGTGTGGGTCACTTGTTGACTGTGTTACTCAGCAGCAAAGATGACACCTTAGGGTGACTTATATGGAGCCCAAATAGCTCCTTTTTTAGCTGACCAATTTGTGACTGGTTTGGGAGCAACTAAGGTTGCGCTTTGGAAATGACTAATTCTGAGAGTATAGTGGAAATCTCAGGTTGGTCCTGTGCTGAAGACCTTTGCAGAGGTATGACACGTTTCTTGAGCAGGGTTTTGTTCAGGGCTCGGTACGGCTGTGTAAATCCCATCTGGGGCTCACCCCAGAAAGCCGCAACGCTGACTGACCTGCTCTTGGCACTTCCTCAGCCTTGTGCTGGATTTGCGCAGCAAAAATTTTGAAGCGGGGAAGATGCAGTGAAAGAGGGTGTCTGGGTGTGGGGGAGGGTGTCAGTCTCAGCTGCTGTAAATGAGTAACAGCACTATATACTGATTTGGCTTCTGAGTTGGTGTTTCTCATGTGAGTGTGTAATCTTATCCAAATGAACCATGCAAATTATACTTCCCTCCCTCCAAGATGCTGTTACTATGTGTTAGGATTGCACGTGAAGTGATGTCTGCCCTGCCGTGGCACGTGCCTATCCGTTTAGGGAACGCTCGCTTTATTCAGGTCCAGCTCCAAAGGGTCTTCAGCTCCAAAGACTTTGCACCCTGGCACAGCCCTCAGACTTACAGGTCCCGTTACTCTTGCAGGACGTTGACGACCCCCTCCTGGAGATGAAGACCCCTGTCCTCTTCGTGATCGGTCAGAATTCCCTGCAGTGTAACATCGAAGCAATGGAAGATTTCCGTGAGAAAATTCGAGCTGATAACAGCATGGTGGTGGTGGGAGGAGCAGATGACAATCTCAGGTAAAGTCCTGTGAGGTGGATACTCTCTGATACTCTCTTCCCAGAAGCATTGAGCAACATCTGAGTGTGGTGTGTGCAAAAAGATACAAAAATCTTGTTCTGAAGCTAGGTGGGGACTACATTTAAAAAAAAAAAAAAAAAAAGATAAGAAAAAAGAAAAAGCAAGCTCCATCAGTGTTTAATCAGTTTAAATCGGACCCAGCTAAGAACTGGGGGAAGAGCTTCCTGGAAAGCTGACAAAACTTGGTGTTTTTATAGTGGTCATCTGGACAAGATTTTGGCGCGTTTAAGTCAGAAAAGTAAATGAGAGGAAAGAAAGAAACGTAAAACTCGACTATTGGGGTTGAAGACGAAGCTCTAAAGGGAAAGAAACATCTTACTTATTCTGGTAAAGCTTTGGTCCTGATCTCGGTGAGGCTGAGCCCTTTTAGTTATCACCAAAGTTTTCCTCAATGCTTCCAAGGGATGAACCCTGTCTTTCCAGTAGACGGTGTTCTTGAGATGAGTGCTCATAGCGCTGATAATCTCAGTATCAAACTAGGTAAAGGAGTGAAGCTTCCGTCACTTGAAAATTACTCTCAGATTAAGAATAATGTTGCGTGGAAGGGGAAAAATGAATGTGTTTTGACTTCTGTGTGTGTGGTTTTTTGTTTGTTTGTTTTCAATAGGATAAGCAAAGCCAAAAAGAAGTCAGAAGGCCTGACCCAGAGTATGGTGGACAGGTGCATCCAGGTAAAGATAGAAGTCTTCCTTTTACCTTTTATAGCCATAATAAATATGTATTGAAACGTCTCAATGACCGTGACTTATAACCTTGCTGCCAGGACTTGTTGGGCAAAGGGAATTCCTCCTCAGGGGAATTTTGAAATGTCTATCTCCTTTCAAGTGGAGAGACATGAGCTTCTTGGCAGTGTATCCTCAACAAAGAGCAGGTTTCTGAGTCTTGCAGTCCATCTGTCTGGGAAAAACTACTTCGGGCAGCATAGGAGAAACCAGCATGTTTCTCTCCCATTTGTCAGAAATCGATAAGAGTATGAGCTTTAGTGAGAAAACCAAGGTCTACCTGCAAGGTTTGAGGGTTTCTGCTTGTGGAATCTTAAACCTAGAGAGCCCTGTCGGTTCCTCCCGTTGGGAATCCTGGTTCTTTTTTCTGTGAAGATCAGTTATTTAGAGGCCTGCACACCATGGAGACTAAATGTGTGTTTCATCTTTCCTAGGATGAAATAGCCGACTTCCTGACTGGAGTCCTTACCCGAGCGGAGAGCCACTCGGGCTCTGATCCCCGTGACCTAGATGCTGAGAAAAAGAAGAAGCCCCGGGACTCGACCAGGAGGGACCTGTCGTTTGACTTACCAGAAAGAACCAGCAGGCCTGCCTCGCCAGCAGCCAAAGTGCCTGCGTCGCCTTCGGGCTCGGAGGTGGGGACTCTCTCCGGGATGCTCTGAGCTGGGGAAGGCTCAGATAGGGTGTTTTTTTTTTTTTTTAAAAAAAAAAAATGCTTTTGTATTGCTGAGATAGGTAGTGAGAGATGTAATTGGAGCTGGAAGAGGGAGGTGAGAGGATACGAAGGGACTAGTGGCTTCGGCTGGGGCAGACAGATCTTCCAAAGCAGGCTCCAGCAAAATGCAAGTGCATGTTTACGTAATGGGCTTTTAGCTTCTTAAACAGGGAAGCCTGCCCTATGACAGAGGGGAAGGCTGGGTGTGAGAAGGGGAGCCAGGCAAATTGCGGTGCGATAATGTGCCATCATCCCTGGTCTCCGTGCTTTTTGGAGGGCACAGCACGCTGTCGTCTTAGGGGATGAGTTCGTAGGTGGGGGCCAAGCGCTGTAAGGATGCGTGTTATTGCTTGCCTACTGCTACGCTTAGTGTGACAACTTCTCAGGGAAACGTGTGGATAAGAGCTTTTCCTTCTTTTCAAGTAGGACCTATCCAGTGTCTCCAGCAGCCCCACTTCAAGCCCCAAGACTAAAATGGCTGCTGTGTCCTCCATCCAGAAGCCCAGCCAGATTAGCACCACACAGCTGCTGAAGAGGCAGGTCCCGAGGACGGACACGATCCTGACGCACAAGCAGGCACAAGGTAATGCCCTGCAGCTTTCCCACCCTCTTATCATCTTGATTTTTGGTCTTCACCTGCCCAGACTTGGTTAGATTTTTGTCTTCAGAGTCCTGTCTTGATTTCCAGGCTTCCTCTGGCAGTTTGCTCTACAGCTCGGTCCCCTCTCACTGTCATCTGAAGGCAGCAGCCTGCGGGGGTTGATATTAGGTTGGAAATGGTGTTTCTGCAGCCTACAGATGCTTTACCACTGTTCAAAGGGAGAAGGGTTTTCACTTACTCTGGCTGACCAAATCACCGCATAGCTGTTCTGTGATTTTTGTTTTGGGTGCAAGTCCCTTGACCAGGATCTCAGCAGTGGAGGCTACTTGGGAAATAAAAGGTGCTCAGGAGATGGTTGAGGCTATTGAATTGTGACTGAGACAGATTGGGTAATTAAAGAATTGTGCATCAAATGACAGAGGGAAACCTGCTGAGAGTAAGAACACAGTTTGGGCTGTGTTTCTTGTGTTGTTGGATGCTGATTAAAAACTTAACTGTGCAGCTTCGGTCTGATTGTGAAAGTTGTGAATGGCAGGTAGTGCTTTGCTGTTGATGATCCCTTCTGGAAAATATCGGGTGGTACCCGGGGAATAGTTCCTCACCCTCCCATCTCTCCTTATTTCTTTCCTCAAGAAATGAGCAATGGGCTTGTTATCTCCTGTGACAGTGTGACCCTCCACACGCTCCTAAAGTGTTACGGTAACTCAGGATAGGCTCTGGGGGAAATTCAGGCTTGGATTTTGCTTAGTTTCTCAGGGCACGGACTGACAAAATCTGCTTTTTTAAAATTATTTTTATTTATTCATTTTTTAAATTTTTTTAGTTGAAGGAGCATGTTTCTAGATAGTGCATGGGAGGCCGGAGGAAGGTCTGTGGAGTGGCGCGTGTTGTGGCCAGCTTGTTTTGTCAGGAGCACTTCTGCGGCGTGAAATTTGGAGCGTGCTTTGTGGCAGTAAGGTGCTGAGGACCTGGGACGTGCTGGCTGACGTTTGCCAGGTACTTTCAGCTTTTCAGCACCGCTGCTCAGTTGAGTTAGCCGTATCGATAGTACCTCGTGCAGCCGGTATCACAGCCAGCCTGCTCTCCTTCCCTGGGTTGGTGGACCTTTGTCAGGTGGCTCTGGGGCTGGAAAAGGCTTATGTTACTTGGATGTTCTCTCTGGATCAGCCAGGACAGGAGCGAGAGTGCTAATGCCCCTTCTAGTGTTGGATGTGCTACGCGTCCGTCCGGAAAAGAGATTGGTGTGTCTCCATGTGCCTCGTGGCTGAATGAGTTGTGTCCAGAGCTCTCCGCTTGCCTGCTCTGAGGTCTCTGTCTGTGGGTCGCAGTGGTGTCCCTGGAGTTCGCTGCCCCCCCGCCTCCAGAGCCGGGCTGTGATACTGTAATTTTCTCTGATTCATTTCAGCTCAGTTTGCTGCTTTTCTGAAACAAAACATGCTGGTGAGGAAAGCTCTTCCTCCTGGCACCTCTTCATGTCTCTTTGGTGAGTATCTCCTCACTTCTCACTGTCTCTCTCTCCGTCTCCCTCCTTCTCTCTGTCTCTGTGACCTTCTTCCATCATCTTCCTCTTCCCTTGCATTCGTTTGGGGATGTAGTCCAATGTGTCCCCTTTGTCCCCTGCTTTTTGCTTTCTCATTGCTGTACTTGAAGCTAAAGCAAATGGCCACGTGCTAGCTAAGAGCATTAACCTTCCTGAGCTCTCCCCCTTTCCCTGCCCCAGCAGGGAAATACTGCTCTGGGAGCCACGTAATCTGGCAGCAGTTTTTCTCTGATGGACTAAAACTTTGTGGATGATGTGGTGGCTTCCTGTGATCATGAGTTTAACCCTTTTCAGTGCTGGGCGGCGGGGCTGAGAAGGGGAGGTGGACTCCAGCCTGAGAGACTGTGTGTGTCGATGGGTGGTAAGGACGCTCCAGAGTGGCAAAGGGGCTGTCAGCGGCCGCAGAAATAAAGAACTGGCCGCAGAAATGAGGAACTGCCAAGTGACTTGAAAAGGGCAGATCTAGACACGTGCGAGGCAGAGAATGGCGGAGAGGGCAGGTGGAGGGGTGCCCTTGGGAAGATAGCGATGTACGGGGGGCAGGAATTTAAATGGCAGCGTTCATGAAAGAGCTAGCCTGATGCGACTGCCCGGATCAGGAGACATCCAGAGATGAGCATTCTTTAGTCCTGTGGTCTCTTGTGTTGGATGCTGGAGCATATAGGAGAGTGGTGGAGCTCAGTGTGTCAGGTCCTCTGAGGGTTAGGGATTGCGGGATGAGATCCACAACTCATATAAAGATATATTTGGCTGTCTTGAGTGGCAGTGACTGCACATATCTGGGGTTAGGAGAGGAAGGGAGGTTGAAATCCAAGGCTTTGGGAGGTTGCGAGGTATTCACGTGAGCTGTCAGTGTCAGCTCTCAGTTGAGGTGACCCCAGGTTGCTGAGAGCATTAATATGGGTGAAAACTGCCTCTCTGCAACGCCCCAAATGCCTGCGCTGCTTTAACTCGGCAAAGCAAGCCCTGGATGCAAAGAAGTCTATGGTATTTTGGCATGCTGTATACAAGCTCCTCAGATACTGTAGGCTCCCTGCATCCCTTGAATGCACACAAGCTATAATCCAAACTATACATGTGCAACCACGGTAATGCAGTCCTGAGGCAAGTATTGGTCTGAACTGGTGGTTTTAAGGATTTCTTTCTCCCTTGAGCCTTGTTTTTGAGAGACTTTGTGCCCTCCCCTGTGCTATGAGATGAGCCTGAGAGCTTATGTGGATGAACCAGTGGAATAACTCTGTACTTAGCCAGAGTCCTCCCACCTGGCGTCTGCTGGGAGAAGAAACTAGTGGCCGAGGTGGTGGTTCACCTGCCCGTGGGGAGAGGTGGAGAGGCTTTATCTGGGATGTGCTGGCACCAGCCTGGCCTGCCTTTCCCTTGCCTGTCTTCTGGAGCAGTGAGCAAGGGTCAGCAACTGGAAGCATGTACAAAAAGGTCTGGCGGAGGATGGTTTTGTCTGTCATCAGCTGCCGCACGACTGCAGCATCCATGAACTTCCGTTCAGTTTCGCTTTGGTGGTACTCTTAGGAGTTGATGAGATCTTGGGGCTTGTTCCTCAGGCTCTGCTGCCTGAGCTGCGAGGTAGGAAGCTGGGATGCGCGCGCTGTGTGTGTTGGGAGCGTTCACCGCTCTCTGGGCGCCTGGGTGCTCCTCTGGCATGGGGAGCCCTTCACAGCAGGAGTCTGTGCACAGTGTGAGCCTCAGTGAGACGTCACACGCCTCTGTGCGACCAGAAATAGTTGTAAGGCTCTGCTCTCGCTCATCTTGCAGCGGGGACGCGGAGAGACGTTGGCTCGCTGCTTACTGATGCTTTGAGGGGCACCTAACGCTGCTGCCTGTGCGTGTGCCCTTTCACTGTCCTGCTTGGCTGGTGGCACCGTATCGTGGCACCCCAAGGGCTTTGGTGCCTGCAGTCTCTGCGCGGCTGGCGAGGCCTCTCTAAATGGCGCTTCTGCCCGAGCATGTTTGCAGTCAGGTGGGAGACACGGGAGCACTGCACGAGTGTCACGAGCCACGATTCTTAACAGCAGAGCAAGTCTGGTGCTCGTCTCGGGGACCAGAGCAGCTCCAAAACACTTGCGGTCCCCTACCATTAGGGATTTGGCTGCGTCTTGTCCTGCACCCCTAGTTTGGAGACAAGCAAGTGCTGTGGTTGGCCTCCAGGCTGTTGAATACATGACTTAAACAGCCAGGACTCTTGCAGGCAGGGAGTTAGCTGGCTCAGAAACTGTCCGCAAGAGCTCTGATGGAGAGTTTCCTTTAGCTTTGAGGGGAGGCTTTTCCCGGTCGTTGCAAAGCGCGCAGCGTTTCTGAGCGCTGCCAGGCTGCGGGTGTCGCAGTGGAAGGCAGGTCGGCGCTCTCGCTTTGGCCCAGCGCGCCAGCGTTTCAGGTTGGGGCCTGGCAATCTCCCACCAGCGGCGGAGTGCGCGTGCAGATCCGATGGGCAGGATGTGACCGTGTTTCGTTCTTGGGCTGCCTAGAGGTGCTCGTTGTGGACGTGGGCCCTCTGCACTGTTCGGATGGTCCTTGCCCTGGCAAACTTGGGCTCTGGGCATCAGGCAGGACGAAAACGGATGTGATGGGTCAAAGATGTGACAGCAGAATGAGCCATCGGTGTGGAAGGAAGGTCTCAGCTCACTGCTTTCCTGTCTACTGCGAAGCCCTTTGAGGTCTGACTTTGCTGTGGCACCTTTCATGCTCATGGCTGCTTCGCTTAGTGTCTCTAGGCCTTTTTTTTTCCCTACGGTTTTTTCCAGCCCTCGAAGGGCTGGTTGTGAGTGCTGGAAGGGACATGCTGAATGACTGGCATGCAGATACCTGCGCTGATGTGTCAGAGGAGCAGGGAGGCAGTGGCTGAGCACTAATCCCAGCGTTGGCAGCACACCTGTGCTGGCTGTGCAGGTCTCTGCACCTTTGGTCCCTCCTATGGAAATAGGGGGGTGATGGCAGGATTGATTATGCTGTGCTTCGAAACAAAAAGCATTTGTAAAGCGTTATTCCTGTAAGCATCCGTTTTTCTTCCTTGCAAAGGCAAGGCAGGCTTTGTATGCAGTCCCACCTTAGTCATGGCTAAGTCCTGGCTCTAGGAGTAGCTTAGGGCATGCAGAAGTCAGTGTAGGTGGTAAAGAGAAGAGAGGGGTTCCTGGTGCATGGGAGATGGGCAAGGCTGGCATGAAAAGGGAGCTGTAGAAGTATGCATGGGCACGTGTCCTTCTCCACACCTCGGTGTGCACAGTGGAGTTGCACTGACCTCGAGGAACCGGCCATCGGTTTCAAAAAGCTACTTCTGTGTCCCCCAGTTCCAGTCTCCTCCGAGCCCTCGGAAGGGGCTGAGAAAGATGATGTGCGTATGCAGCTGAAGAGGCACCAGACCCCCAGCCCGACCCAGTGCAGCAAATCCTCCAAACGAGCCAAAATCAAGGTGACCATTGTCTCCCACGGAGATGCTGCTGGCGTGGGGAACGGAGCGCCCCTCACCACCCAGCCAGAAAGTGAGTTGCGATTCCCTAGCTGCTTTCCAGCCAGTGAGCGGGTTGCGGCTCTGCCCGGACCAGCTCCCGCATGCTGCTGCTGCATCCTCCGTGGCACGGCCTTGGGGCGGGAGGGGCAGGGAGCTGCGATTTTGGAGGAGATAGCAGCAGAAAGCAGTTGGAGGTTCGAGGTGTGAGTTACTTTGTGCTGTTTGGGATAGCTGGGGACGCGTGGGGTCAGACAGCGCGCAGCCAGGTCTTGGCAGAAGCCTCCGTTTTCCGTAGTGGTTCAGCTTGCACGCTTCGGGGAAACGCTTGGCTGCAGCCTCGTGAGCTGTGAGACGATCTTTACACCTTCTCCCGAAGCATCGAGCCGCCGCTGGAAGCAGGACACAGGTCCCGGTGGACCCTTGCTCTAAGTAGGTTGTGCAAGTCTTCGATTCTGCCGCCTGCTTGCGTGTCCCCTGCAGCGGAAGCGACTCCAGCGCGGTGGAGAGCGGCTCTGCAAAGCTCTCGCCTGGAATGTGCTCCTGCTTTATGGATGACTGCAACGTTGCCTCCTACGGGAAGATCTTAGCGCGTTCAGGCTTTGCAGCTCAGCTGAGCGTCCTGCTCCGCTGATCCCCTTCGGGCCGTGCAGTGGCCTGAAGTCTGTCACGATATGTGTTTGATATACGTATTTAGAAATTCCAGCTCTTTTTTTTGCCTGTTCGGCTGAGAAAACCCCTTACGAGGAGCGCTGCAGAGTTCCCTGCAGTCCAAGAAGAGGTGATGTGCGCAGCTGCCTTCCCTGTGAGCCTTTGCAAGGCAGGCCAGAAGCTTTGGCTACCGTGACCCTCGTATTTCAAGGACGATGTTGTGTTGTTGCTGCCCACGCTGGTATATACGGCTTCCCCACGTCAGAGCGCAGAGCCCAATATGTACAGCAATTGCTCGTGATTAGCGTTAGCTTTGATGCAGTGCAGGACTGAAGGGCCAGCACCTCCATTCGAAGTATTAGGAAATCAGAGGTTTTCAAAGCTGAGAAATAGTTCTGCTTGGTTTGAAACATTTCTTGGTTAATTTAACAGTTGTTTTGTACTGTGAAAATTAACTAATAAATATCCGTCTTTTTCTAAGGTTACAATTCACCTTCTGGCAGCTTTGAAAAATCTCTGATTTCCGGACTCTTTTTTTTTAATTCTCCAAACTTTACTTCTCTTCACAGAAAGGAAATGAATTGCAGAAGTAAACATGAACCAAACAAGAATTCCCTCTTACCGTGTGAGAGCAGGAGGAATGCACAAGACAAACGCATTTGTACCCCAAACGTCGCAATAAAAAATATTGTGATTCGTCGCATGCCTGTGTATTTTGTAAAATCTCTCTAAAGAATGCTTACAAAATCGATCACTAGCGAGAAGCCCTACACCAACTAATCAACCGAGGTGGTAGCCCTGTGTAAGGAGGATGATATTAGGAGGAGGGGATTAGCAGAAATGACAGCATTTAGGAGAATTTCATTTGGTTGCGAGGGCCTGAGGGACCACTGCTTGCAGATCTTGAAACCGATTCCTTCAGTCGTCCTGTCTCTCCTAATGCTTTCACAATGGCAGCTTTCTGATTTATTTAATTATTATTATTTGCAATTCCGATCTGTTTGATAACCCTGATTTCCCGTAGCGCGGTGGCTAGCGTGTGTTTCTGGCTGCAGCGGAGGTTTCCTTTAGACGAGGTTTGTGAGCAGGATGAGCCCGTGGCCTGCAGCGCTGCTCAGTGTCAGTGGGTAGTGTGCGAGAGAGGGGGATCCCTACGGACGCGTGTAGGAAGGAGCATGAGGTTTACGTCTTTTTCTTTTGCAGTCGTTGCCGGAAAGCCCATCCCCGTGGCTGTTGGCCAGTCTGTGTCGGGTGCAAAGGAGCTGTCGGGCCTGCTCGCCACCCCCAAGTGAGTGTGTCTTTATTCTTATGAGCTGGGGGTCTCTTTCGCAGGCTGCTGATGTGAAGCACCGTAACATGGTGCTTTCCACCTACGTAGCTTTCTGGGTTCTGTTTATGACTGGATTTTTCTAAAGCCCAGGAAACCATCTCAACTGGTGGTTGGGTCTGAGAATGACAAAAATGGGCAGAAGTAGAAGGTATCGTGGCTATTGGATGATACCTCTATATGGTTTCCTAAATCCAAGTTTGCTGTAGAACTGCCTATCTCTGTCTTTTGAATCACTGTGTCAGTCTTTGCCAAAAACATAACGTTGCTGTCTTTAATCCTTCCCTTCGTTCTCTCTGGCAGTAAAGCACTTCCTTCTCTGAGGCAGGGGAAGCTTCAGTATCAGTCTCTGAAGCTGACTGGCCGTAAGGATCTCTTTTGGAGAGTTCATTGTGATGTTGGCTGTCTCTCACAACACAGTTTTTTTTCCCTTTTTTTAAATTCACCCTGTGCATTGGAGAACCAAGCCCTGTTGGATCTGGGAGGAGAGGGGGAGAAGAGCCGTTCTCTTATAGAGTAGGTGTTAAATGGGAACTGTTTCGCTCCAAGGTGGTTTCCTTTTGTGTAGGATGATACAGCTGTTGCAGCAGGTAGGTAGGTGTACCCATATAATAAGTTCACTTCAATTTGGAGATAAACCAGATTTTGCCATAGGTGCTCGTGGCTCTAGTTGCCATGATGGGCAAAGAAACTTCTCTTATTTTGAGTTCTTTTTTTTAAGTTCGTCTGCCTTCCTTATATTTCCAGAAGGCCTGTGTGAGCAAGTTAGGTCAGCGACAGCTTGCTGTCAAAGCCATCTAGCATCATCCTCTCTGTAGCGTGTTGCTAACCGGAGTCTCTTTCTTTGTCTTTTATAGGTTGAGTTCGGCAACGGAAACCTCCTCCTGTAGTCCTGCCCCGTCTGCTGTGATCCCCAGCAGCACGACGCCCAGTGCTTTCCATGCCCTGCAGAGCAGGCTGGTGGCCAGCAGCGCCCACTGCATGCAGGCCCAGCCGGCCAGTACCCTCCAAGGTACCTGCCTCTCTCTGTGTCTGTCTTGTGAATGTAAAAGGTAAACCAGGTTCAAAATCATGTGGTGGATTCTCTTTCTCGCATTCCCTGGTTGCTTTGGGTTTTTGACCTGCAGTTGCTGAGGCAGCGTTTGTAGTGCTTTGCTATCCCAGGAGCCCACGGAGATGCAGTGGGCAGCTATCGTGAGGCTGAATGAGCAGGGGGTGACCTGTTCATTGCGTCATTATTTGAATGTAACGATGCCTTGAGATACCAAACGTTTCCTCCTTCCAGGGAGGAGCAGGAGCAGCTGTCATACTGTCAAATGCCTCCCTCGTTTTACAGCTGGCCTCGTTTGCAGCTGTGGCAGTGAAATGTGGTGGACTGCATGTTTGCAGAGAGGCTAGGAGGATCCCTGCTGGCCTAGAGGCAGGGTGCTTGGGATGCTGCTCCTTTAAGAAAAGTTTTACACTGACGCTGCCACGTGATAGACGAGAACCTGGAATTTCATGGTGGTTAATTCTCCAAGCTTGACTTTTCCCCCCACCAGGAGCAGCATCTGCCAGTAGCCTGCTGCAAGGCCTGAGCTTCAGCCTGCAGGACATCGGGACCAAGTCACCAGGCCTTCCTGCCAGCGTGGCTGCTGCTGGGCCGCCCGTGCAGGTATGCAGCCTGTGAATGTCAGGCGTTGCTCTCTGAAAGGAAGCTTCTGAAGCTCTCTGAAGGGAAGCAGGACCATAGCGGTAGTAGCTGGAGCGGGAGGGAGCCCACGTGTGCTCTGGGACCAGAAGCGATGAGGGATTCTAGGTTGGGATGATGCATCCAAGCTTTGGCTGTGTGCTAGGGAGTACCGCTTTCCAGTAAGTGGTGTGAGTTTTAGGAAACAGGCTATGGGAAATAGTACTCAAAACTGGGCTGGGCAAACATCTAGAAAACATTGAGAAGGACTTGGAGAATGGGCTGGGGGGATCGGTGTCTTGTTCTTCTGGTGTGTTGTACCACAGGAGGAAAAAACGTGCATCTGTGCTTCCATCAGGCAGCACTCCCTATCCTTTCAGTTTGAGGAGACCTCATTCAGAAGGGGGTCTCCTTGCCACAGCTTCTCCCAGTCACGCTTTTGAGCTGAAATGAGTGTGTCCAGACTGGAAGGGGCAACTTCACCTGCTTTTAAACTTGCTTGCTGCCCCCTAATGAAGTGTGGAAACTCTCTGTCTGACCTCAAGACCTCCAGCTTCTGCATGAGAGAGAGGCTGTGCCTCCCCTTTCCTTCCAGATACTCATAATGTTTCTGCTTCTCCTTCTAGACCTCAGCTGTGAAGACACCCGCGCCCATCCAAAACCTGAGTGCCATTACCACAGGCACTGGCACAATTGTCCGCACCATCCCGGTTGCCACCTCTTTGTCTCTGGGAGCCTCAGCAAGTGGGAAGCCCACAGCCATTCACCAGCTGCTGACAAACGGGGGACTGGCGAAGCTAGCCAGCAGTCTCCCTGGCTTGGCTCAGATCTCCAACCAGGCAGCAGGTGAGGGAGAGGGGGACAGGTTTGTTGGGTGTTTCCAAAGTTTATCTCTTGCCTTTGTGGTGCTCTCTGAGCTGTGGCTATGGGAATCTCCATGTGATAGCAATTTGTGAGCAGCTCCTTCTAATGGGAAGGGATTTTGCTGATGCAGCCCCTGGTTGGTGGAATGTGGACGCCGCCATTCCCATGTCTCAGGGAAGTCTCGCTCACGTGTCTTCTAGGCTTGAAGGCCCCAACGACCATTACTGTGACGCTGCGCGGGCAGCCCAGCCGAGTGACCACGCTTAGCCAGGCTGCGATGGGGTCTATCCAACCTCAGCTCGAGGAACAGCCGATGCAGACACAAGCGCCTCAGGTAAATTTTGGCATCGGCTCTGTAGAGAAAGTGTCCACTGCCGCTCTGAGCCTTTTCTGACCGTTGTGGTCAAGAGCAGGAACAACTCTCCTGGGGAAAGTATTCTCGGTCACTTCATCTCCCTTGGGTGTGATGAGCTTTGTTGCTGTGCTGAGGCTGCCTGCACTGCCATGCAGTGGAGTTAGGATGTGTTGTGCTGCTCCTGGCTGCAGCACCCACTTTGCACGTGTGTGGATCAGCCCTTTTCTCTGCACAGAAAGGAGCCTTGCAAGGCAGTAGTTGGAGGAGGACGACCCATGTCATCTCTGAGTCTGTTAGTGGCAGGGTTGCCTCCTCCAGGGAGGTTGTGCTCGATATTATGCTAGTACTGCACTAAGGAAATTGCTCTCTAGATGGACTTCTGAAGCTGGCATCAGCATGGAAGTTATTGCTGAAGCTCCAGGCTTTCTTGGCAGTAACAGGCTTTGGTGTGAGGAGGAAAGCTTCTTCTAGAGCATCTGTGTCCTTCTGTTATTCACGGGGGGAAGTGGGTCCAGCAGTGCTGTGTGGCGTCCTCCTGCTCTTGGAAGTGCTGCTTCTCACTGATTCCCTGATGTGAGGCTGTGCCCTGTGGGCATCTGGGAGGCTGTACCGCTTGCTCCTGCAGGTCTCCAGGTTCTGCTTTTTCTCAATGCTGTGCTGTTGAAACCTAAATATGAAGTGTTGAGCGCGTGCTCTAAAGTCATATCTGTTCACAACAGATCTCCTTTTGGAGATGCATCACTGGCAGAAAGAAATGCTCTTACCATTTGGACTTGCTCAGCATGCCAGGTACTGTCTCAAAGGATCCTGGCTGCCTCCCCCACTTCCCAAGATATGTCTTGATGCAGTTGAGTTGAGAGCACAAGATGCCAGATCGGAGAAGGTCTTGTAGTGAAGGTATTGGTCTCAAGTACTATAACTTGGACCTCTCCATCCCAGATTCTGGACTAGGACTCTGCACTAGCGGCCTTCAGCAGAGCTGTGCAGGCAGGAGCAGCGAGCACCCGTTGCCATAGTGTGCCATAGCCCAACAGCTACAAATTCCAGATGGAGGCCAGTTGCAAGAAGGAAACAAGCTGGAGATGGAACTTTTCAGTCACCGGAGGCAGAAAACAGGAAATTTAATGTAGGTATAGTCTTAGGCTCTGTCCTAAACTGCTGTCCAACAAAGGTCGGTTCTGATCATCTGTTTTGGCTCCCTGCACAGAACAGCTAGTCAGTGGTTGGTTGGCTGTGATGGATGTGCTTTCCGCAAGGTTCGAACCTAAGCCCTTGTTTGTCACAGGGCAGGTGGCTTCCCCGCAATCCCAGCTCCGATGCAGTATGACAGTCAGATCAAGTCCTGTAGGTCCTCTCCCAGAGATCAGGATCTTGGCCGTATGAACAGCTGTTGTGCTGGTGTTACTGAGGGGAATGCCCCATCAGCTGGTGTGCTCGCTGGAGGCTGAGCCCCTTCTGGCAAGGGGTTTAGGGGCTGTGCAGGGGCCAGCCCAGGCCTGTGATCTGCCATTTAGGACTGAAGAAGACATCGTAGGAAGGGCTGCTGTTGGCCTGAGGATGAGGCTGTAGAGTGGGTTTTGGTAGGTGGCACCTGGCTGGTTCTGCCTTGAGATAGTCAGGAGCAATTTCCTTATGAACAGTATGAAGGGAACCACGGCCTGAGGTATTGAGGCTCTGAAGGCTTCTCTAAGGAGCAAAGCTTTGGAGGTAAATGAGAACTTTTGAAGCTTGCCAAGAGCGAGCTTGAGTTAACTGGGATTCAGCTCAGGGACATCAGAAGCACCTACAGAGTGGAGACTACCGGTTACACCACCGATTAAAATGAGATGCCATCGCTTCCCCCGTCCTAAAAACTTGGAGTATAACTGACTGTCCAAAAGATGCCGTCTGCAGTCATTTGAGATGGGCATCTGCAGGAAGAAATGAATTTAAAGAGCAAGTGAACAAGCTCCCCTAATGAGAAGTGCTACAGCTTGGGCGCTCAGACAAATGTGGAGAATCCTGTGGGGATTAACAAGCTGGCGCTGAATGCTGAGAGCATTTGAGGATGCCAAGGAGACGACTGCAGATTGCATTGGCAAGTTTTTTTTCCTTGCATGTGATCTTCCTACTCCTGGTATCCCTAACGCAGGTTCCCGGCAGGGAAGGTGGTGTAGGAGACTCAGAGCAGCCTTTGCGTCACAGATGAAGCTCTGGTTTTTGATCCCTGTTGTCGGGGAGGCTCAAGTTGTGGGCAGCTTCGTGGAGGCAGGGAACCTGCTTCTCCTCCGTGCTGCTGCCTGCAGAGGCTGGCTCTTTGGGGTTGCTCAAAGCCCTGAGATGATGTGAAGGAAGATACTGTCCTAGGGGGATCGTCAAGCCTTCAGATGGAAGCTGGGTAAGTTAAGCCATAAATCCTTCACTTGTCCTGCACTACTTCAGAGTTAGCATCGTGTTCACCGTTACCAGTCATTTGCACACAGCAGCAGAGTCCTGGCTTGTTGCTGGTTAAAGCTCAGCTACGGGAGCATCCGGTTCCTTCCTCCCTTGACGTTTTTGTGTCTCTTTCAGTCACTTTGCTAGTGTGACAGAGCCTGCAAGCACTGGCAGAGCTGACGCGCTGCTGGCTAAGCCAGCGCTCAGAAATACAGAGCTAGTGACGCTCAGCGTATCCACCGTGCAGGTCCTGTCAGTGCTAAGAGGAGGCTGAGTCATGCTGCCGTATTGCCTTGTAGGTCTGAACCTCTTTATCCTGGTCGGAGTCAGTGTTTGTGCTCTTCAAAGGCCGTTTGAAGAAACGATCCGAAATGGCACGTTTTCCTTTCCGTCCTTTGTAACCTGCTTTGAGAAGCCCTAAATACGTTTGGTGGAACGGTAACTTGACGATGTTAAGAAACTCGGCATAGATGGACTCGAGGGTATCGCACAGGTTAAAGTTCTTAAGGCAGCAACACTCGAAACAGGGCATTCGATCCTAAATGTTAATCTCACCTACAATGCTGAGTTTGTGTGTTCGAGGTAGTGATTAATTGTGTGGCCGGCTGTGAGAGTTGCTTCAAAAGCAAACTGAAAGCTGGCGTTTACAGGAAGTGGAATGAGCTACGTATTTTTGTAACTAATTATAGTCCTTATCAGTGTTTGTGTGTACCTTTAGCAAGTAGAATTACGTAATCTAGCCGTGTTTCCTGTAAAGAGCAAATTTCTAAAAGGCTTTGGGGGATAACCCCACGGCATAAACTCTTGTGTTTTCAGCAGTAACCGAAGCTATTGTCAGTTGGGTTCCCTTTGAAATTCCAGCTGACGGCTCGACTGTGCTTGTTCAGGAAGCGTGAAGCCCACGCATAGGCTGTGTGCTGTGATTTTAAACTTTGGGGGCTGGGGCGATGTCTGTAGTGGCTGAGATGCAGTTTGAAAGGGCAACTCTCCTTGCCCCGTGGGCTTTGGGTATTAAACAGACGGGGGAAGGCTGAGGAATCTCCCTGGAGAGCTCGGTTCAAATGCGTTCTGCGAGTAGCAGAGTAGGAGAAAGTAGGTTTGGGTGGCTTTAGGGTGAAAACATGAGCAATCTTCAGCTTTTGTTTGCGAGAGATTGTTCCACCCTTGATCTCCACCAACACCTTCTGTATGGTGGAGACCATACAGAGACCATACTCTTCTCCAGCGTGGATATGTGCTGACAGTCACTCCGTAAAATGCGGAGTTTGAGTGGTGCTGATGCCGATTGTGTTCTGTTTTCTGCTTAATGCCAAACAGGCTTAAATGGAGCCGCAGGCTGAGGTGGTGATTTGAGTTTTGGGCAAGGGACGACCCTAGATGGCATGAGGAGAGCCCTAACTCCAGCTTTTGCCAATGCGCAGAGCTAGCTCTACTGGCGGTAGGTTTGCTAGCAACAGTGCCTGCTTACAACAGTGACATTTTTGTGAAGTCTGACCTGTTGCGAGGATTGCGTCCAAGCCAAACCTTTAAGAAATTGCATTGAAACCAGGACACCCAAACTTTGTTCATTGCATTCATGAGCAAAACGGGCCTTGTGGGCTCTTCTGGTTTGTCTGGAGAGCGTCAACCAATGAACCATCTTGGACTAAGGAGGATTGCAGAGACTATTTCTTGCCAGGCTCCTCCTTTTTGGGCTGTGACCCAGCCTTTTGAGATGGGTAACGGGGTGACTGAAAGCACCTTAAAGCCTGTCAGTGATTTAGAGTGGGGATCTTCACCGTACTCTTAGCCTGCTGGCCTGAAGACCGGTCCAGGAGGCTTCCAGCAAAACCGAACGCCTCTTAGATCACTGGGCATTGCAATTCATTGCTTAAAGTTTCAGTGTGACTGATGGCCGTATGCCTGATAGGTGCTTGAGACAGTCATCTCTGTCTTAACAGCCCTCGGGGCAGAAAGGTTGAGCCTGCCAGCTAGTGGGGCACTACTATATCGCTGAATGAGGTATAGAAAAGCAGGTTGTGACCTGCACGAGCATCAGGAATGAACGGCTCAGTCTTGGGCTAAGCGTTTATAAGTGGTGCTTGCCAGTGGTGGAGGAAAGCAAGTAAGTTGTCTCTGAGGGGTCTGGATGAAGAGGCTGGTGTCTGCTTTTGTAGCTGAGAGTTTGTTTTGGAGTTTGAGTGATGCCTTTGAGTGGTTGGGGCTCCCCGGGAGTGCCCGCAAGTGCGTGGCGAGCTTGCAGTCATCTACTCGGAGTATTTGATGGAAGACGCACTGGGAAAGAGTGCAGGCAAGCGAAGGTGGTGCTTGAAGAACCCCTCAAACGGGGGAATTTCTAGATATACCCCTGAAGCTTGTCCCTAAAGGCCGGTGCTCTTCAGAGATGCCCTGGCTGGGCTGCGATCCTCCTTAGGACACAAATCCAAACTCCCCAGTTCGGCCAAGGGGGTGTTGGACACCTGTAAGCATGTGGCAGCCACTGATGCTGTGTAAGCAGCAGGTTGTTGTAAAAGGGGCTTGTACGGCTTCTGCAGGCAAGTGGGGAGCTGTTCGGATGTAGGCGGTGTACTTGGTTGTGTGTTTTCTGGTGGGCTTTCACTGGTTCTGGTGGTAATGGCACGTTGCTCTTGCGAGAGGGTCTGTGCAAAGTGAGAAGTGCTCTTGAGCTCCAATTCCTGGCTGTTGTTTCACTATTGTTTTGGAGAAAACAAGAGCAACCCTGATTTCCCAGGGTTGCTGACAGCCAGAGCCAGGGATGGGAACAGAGCCATCCCACTGCACTTCAGAAAAAAGAAATGAGTTTGTGCCAGTCTCAGCCCAAGCACTGATAATGGTATTGGGGTTGTAAATGACGCCACCGGCTTTAAAATACACGTCTCTGCTGCTCCTGCTATAGATTTTCCCTTCAGTTGAGAAACGGCTGAGCAGAGCGAGGACAAGGTTCGAAGCACTAGGGAAAAGGTTTTAATTTTGAGGCGAGGGATGCAGCGAGGCCCGAGGAACGGTCGCAGCAGCGCCCTGCGGATGGTCTGACTCTGCTCCGCCTCGAGGCCTGGCGCTCCGCGCAGCGCCCGAGCGCGCGGCGGGCCCTTCCAGCAGCTCTCCGTTACTTTAACCCTTCCAGGCTCCAGACGGCGCAGTTGGGAACTTGGCCGCCCCAGCTTCCAGTGCCGCCTCTCCTGGCAAGC